CTCTTCGGGTAATGATGCAGGAGTGGGGACAGTTTACCTTGATATAGGGATTGGTGCAGTGAATCCTGTCCTCAGCTCTCTGTGCTGCTTCTCTGAAACTGCAAATCTAGGGCTAGGATAGGAAAGCTGCTTTTCTAGTGTCTACTAGTCTGCCACAGCTTACTGCCCTGTATATTGAGGTGACCCCACATCAATTTGCTTCGATGTACCATGATACAAGTTGAAGTAGTTGGGCTGAATCTTCCTTGCACTTGGCCCTTAAATGCTGTGGAAATACAGGAACAGACAACAGGAGACTTTATTTATCACCTTACTTTTATCTCAGTGAGGGAAGGGCAACTATTTCAGAGTTTCTGTCCTCCTTTGTTCTTTCTAACCTGAGAAAATGAGGAATGTCTGGGCAGATGAATCTAAAATAGAAGTACTGGCTGTATCTGGCAGAAAAAGCAAACATACTGAAATCTAAATTCCTGTAGCATATTATGTTTCTGTCTTCAATGAAAATATGGTCCAACTAGTGACATGTAGGCCAGGTCGAACCTGCAGGATGCTTTTGTTTAAACTATCACCTTTTCTTTGGAGGAGGTGAAGATGTGTTTGCCTCCATAATAGTTGAACACTTTCTATTGTGTGTGGTATGTGCACATATGTCTATGACAGCCCATGTCAGGGCAAAGGAGAAACAGGCGTTTTTCCACTCTGTGTGTGTGGCACAGTGCCAAGCCTGGAAGTTGTCACTTCTGTGTCTTACTGAGTCCTGAACCTACCATCCAGTCCTATAGCCACAGACTGGGGTGCATAAAGATGATAAATATTTTTAATTTGATGTTGTTTCATGTTTACCTATTTATTTATATTATCAAATTGACCAATATGTTTGCATGTGTATGTGACTTGTGAAAATTACATGCAGATACTTACTAAGGAAAACTACTATATAAAAAGTAGGAGGAGGTGGGGGTTGTGGTGAGAGATGTACAGCCTTAAAAAAAATCAAAATTGTGAATGATTTCCTTAAAAGGAGATGCTGACATCTGAAAAACAAAGTCCTGTAATTAGGGTTTGGCTTTCTGCTTGCTCTGGTCTTAATATGCCTGAGTGCCTTGGCACGAATCTGCTGGTTGTTATTTCTACAAAATGTAGAAGGCTTTTTTTCAGCAGAAGTTATGAAAATACCAAAGCAATGGAAAATAAACAAAACTTGTTGAACAGTTTGTAGTCCTTCTGATCTCTTTCAGATGTGTATTTTGTTGTCACGTGCACCGTTTTAAAATTATGGGGGCGGTATTTAAAGGGCTGAACTAGACATCAAAACTTGGGATTTTTACCTTTGTAAATTGGTTTTAGAGTTTATATTAAGGTGGAATCCTAAGAATCAAATTGAGTCTTGTTCTTGTTTACTTTCAGATGCCTGTCTTAGATGTCAAGCTGAAAACAAACAAGAAGACTGTGTTGGTATGTAGTGATTTCATTCGCTTGTTTTTCAATTGAAGCTTCTCTCGGTAGGGTGCATTTTAAAGTTTGAAGGGAATACTGTTTTTATTAATGCTCAAAACTAGACTGGTGTTTCATTCTACATTGTGTCATCTTTTTACGTTAGTAATACCTTATGCTTTATTTTTGAGCACTAAAAAAAATTAGTTTTCACTTCAGACATGCTGTAGAACAAAACAGCTTCAAATTTGCAGTCAACACATACACGACGGAGAGATTTTAAGTTTCTCACCCTGAGCATAATCGAGGAGATCATAATGTACACTTTTTGAAGTGGGTAGGAAAAGACTACTTTTTTTTCTTGAGATACATGCCAGAAGACACAATGGTAATACCAGTAAAAATCCTCTCTTCTGAAACAAATGTGTGTCTGGGTTAGAAAGCGGTATTTTTCCTGTTCTTAATTCAGACATAGTGGAGGCAGTTGCTAGTTTGCTCACTTTTCATTTGAAGAAGTGGAATCATTTGAGTTGGCTGTAATGCTATTCAAACATAAACATACTTTCAGTTGCATACCAATGTGTGCAAAAACAAATCTTAACTTAATTCCGATATATTTAAATTGGAAATAGTGAAAATTGTCTCAAAGAGTTTGCTTGAAACCTTTAAGTCAACTTTTAAACCAGTGGTGAATCTTTCCATGCCCTTGTTCTTTGTGTTTTGAAGTTTATTGTCTCAAACTTAATCCACTGTTGGTTTTGATGATTATTTTGATGAGAACAGGATTTTCTTGTTCCAGGTATCTTAATTGACTTGCTAAGTGTCATATTTAAGATAGTTGGGGGCGGGGGGAAGCATAGTTTAAAATACTCCTTTGATTGGCACCCTTGTATTCCAATAAGGATAATGCGAACTAAGGGAAAAAAGCAAAGTAACTAACACTATTCAGGAGTAGAATGACAATAAGATAACCCTTTTTCTTGTGTTGAAACAGTTGTAACCTGTGAATAACTTATGGTCTAAGATCCCATTTTGAGGCTATATGCTGTGTCAACTGTGCCTCCTCGATATCATACATTTAAGTTTCAACACTGCATTTCAGATGAGAATTCGGTGATATGCTTTTGTGTGATAGTCAGTCAGTAGTGTGTTGGCTATATTTTGGTACTGGGGAAGATAAAGTGAAGAACTTAGATCATTGCACTTATTTCCTGGACAGAACTGATAAATGTGTTCATAAATTCACAAAACTGTGTCAGTTTATACAAGAAGGTAAGAATATATACATTTCTTTTTTTGTAATTGGAAATAAATAAAAGAATTTATGACAGAGAACTGACTGTCATCAGAATGACCATAATAATCCCATCGCAGTGGATAAATCGGTGATGACCCATTTTGTCTCTAAAGCTTGCAGTGATTATAAACATCTGAGAATGGTAGTTTGGACTTTGCTGTAGGTGTTGATCGGGCAGCTGAGTATGACTGGAACATGTTCTTTCTTCTCTTTCAGTGGTTTGGGGAGAATGCAATCATTCCTTCCACAATTGCTGCATGTCCTTGTGGGTGAAACAGAATAATCGCTGTCCTCTCTGCCAGCAGGACTGGGTAGTCCAGAGAATAGGCAAATAAAACACTGGAAGTTTGGATTTTTTCTGTTGAACTTGTTGAAATAGTGTATGTTTTATGCTGTATGCTCATACAAAAGAATAGAACGTGTCAATCAGGGCGTGATTTATTTAGTTCATCTGCTACCAGATCGATGTAACTTTGTTGTACGTTCTTTGCTGTACGAGGAGGCAGTGGTCAGTCTTACTGTGGATATTTCCACAATTGGAAAAAGAGAGACACTACATTAGCTAATGTATCTGTTACGATTTGAGTGTTAACTCTATCAGAGCACAGAAGTGTGGTGGTGGTGCAGATTATCCTCTAAATACAGTTTATTTAATGTTTTTGCATAGGTAAAGGAATTCATTTGAAAGGGTGACCTTACCTGTAAGTCTGATACGCTGCATAGTTTACTGTCAGGGTAAAGAAATTGTTTTCTAAGTAATATTGTATACAAAAACACAGTCAGTGAGTTTTTTAGAAAGTATTCTGGTTTTTAATCTAAAATGAATAGTGTAAAGCATTTGCTATGTGCTTTTTGCATCACACTATACTAAGCATTTCTAATTTAGGTTTTCTTTATGACTTTAGAAAATTTTGGTTTGTTATATCTCTAAGTCTGTTGCTGTATTATATTCTGTACATGACTTCTACAACCATGGTATTAAAATTTAACCATATTAATAGTTTTTTTAATTTGTATTTCTGTTAAAGATCATGGAGACATGTATTTTTAATCCATAGATTTTTGGTACAAAGACACATATTTGATATCAGTTAACTAGGGGTGTCAACAGTCTCGCTGGTTAGCTGACCTGTATAGAAAGCAAACAAAACTGATAATTTAAATATCCCAAGGAAAGCAGGTACTAATTAAATCTAGGGAAAAATGTTAATTATGTCTTCATGAAGATTCAGTTAATAGAAATTTCTTTATCATCATTTTATTGGTTACAGTGTTTTGGAAGTGGGAGAAAACATTGTTTCATTTTTGTGGAAATCTTCAATATATCATCTTTTTAATATGAATAGTGATTTTTTTTTTTTTCTTACAAATATTTAAGTGCTTGCCTCTGTCTTTTCCCTAAATATCCAAAGCAATTACTATTAATCTGAACATATGCTGTGGGGTTTTATAATATATTAATAGAGAGGTTGAATTACTGCTTTTAAGTCTGTAACACATTCAGGCTTAATAAAATGGTTAATAAATCCTGGGTGAAACTGAAGCAATACTATATGCATATCATTGTTTACTTCAAAATTATAATCTTAGAAGTTTAAGATTAATGCATTTCTCAGCAGATGTATTTCTATCTAATTCTGTTTGGTTTAAGTATATTTAAGGAGGTTTATCTTCACTGTATAAAGTAGTTCCAATGGTAACATTTGTGTCGTCAAGCATACATGCAGAGTTTACTGTGTTTTTGTTTAATACTTGTAATCTTGGTTTTAAAATGTTTTGAATTTTTTAAATATAGCTTTTGTCTCATTACACACAAAGATCCAAAAAATCCCCTGTGTCACTGTTACAGTGTATCATATTGGTTGTTATTATCCCAAATGACGTCTGTCTTAAAATTGATAACAAATTTAAAATAGGTTAACAGTAGTAATTAAGTGCCTATAGCATTTACATTGTCGTGGAGTATTTCTGTTTGTGTAAAAGGATGCTTCCTAAAATGATTGCAAAAGAGAATCTGGTTGGATGTGGAAATAATTTTGATCTGTCAAAATTAAACTGTATCTTGTCTACCACCTATTTTCTCTGCCAGAATTTGGTTCCAGGCTCCATCCTCTAACCTCTGTTAGTTCCATCTAGTCCCATCAGAGGGTTTCTTTCTTCATTTTGCTTTGATTTATAGGTGGATACAGAAAGAACCAAAGTAATTTTCACCCTGCTTTCAGTTCATGTCACGTGCATGACAAGAGTGGCTAAGAATTATAATTGTAGAAAAATCTTCCAAAGTATCAGCTCAAACAGATGTTAACACAGATAAAGTACTGGGAAAGTTAGTGTTGAAATCAAAGCAGCTGATATTTATCTATATCTATTTGTGTATTATAAGTATCTTGTTGACCCATAGTTAGAGGTTCACCTAGAATATAAGGTAATGAATTTTAAGTCCTGCATATTTTCTCTGTGATTTAGAGATTAGCTTAGGTCCCAGTCTTTCTGTGAGCTTTGCACCAGAGAAATTTTCTTGTGTTCCAAATCATACTCTGATTTTCCATTAGCATAGTTCTTAATAAGAACCCATTTTTAGTCATGAGTTTGTTTACCTCTTGTACATGCAAAATAATTCAGTTTTGCTTCTCACCCAAACACATGGTTTTATGAGTAGGTAACACTAACTTAATTAGCCATTATCAGCTAATAGATTAATGCTGATCTACTTTTCTCCACTGTTCAATGAATGCTGGGCAGATTTGGATAATTCAGCAAATCTACCTGGAATCTTCTCTCAAAAGTGACTGAACTAATGAATATGTGTCTAAAGATCGTACTGTTTCACTTTGCTTTTTATGAAGGTTTGTTCTTTTAGAGAAAGTTTATGTTCCATAGAAATCGGAGAAGATTCTAGTTAATAGAACAGAATGATTTTTGGAGCTGTGAATGTGTCTTTCTTATCCAGATACCATAAACATTAGGTATTTTCTTCATTTGCTTAGACACGCATATAGCAATAGCTGGTGTAAGCTTGAGTTGACCCTTAGGTCCCCAACTACCAGCCATTTGTACTGCTACTGTTTGAGCTGTGGTGGCATTCTTGCTAAATGTAAAAAAGACCCTGCTGAATTTTAGGACCTGAAATTAAAGCTTTTATTAACTCCTTTCTTACCTTTCTGTACCCAGGATATTACATGAATATGTTGCTGTGGGCACCATTTTCAGGAAAGCCACCAGCAGAATTCTGCATTTCTTCCTTTGATCTTTTCTGAGTTTTGCTCACTCTGCTGGCTGCATTATTTAGCCCTTTATGTAACCTGCTGCCCCGTGCTTGCATTCACCTGGCAGAATTAGCGATTGCTGTACAAGCAAGACTTTCAAATACGATGTTTTAGAGTACACCACATTCTCATGCAGACATAGCAGTTTGCGATGGATGGCCCTCTCAATCATGGTTTGAAAAACACACCTCTAATGGAATTTTGTAGACTATAAGCATGAGTTATGTGTCAAATGGATTGAATGCAGACAGGATTAAGCATGTAAAACCAAAATGCTGCATAGTAGTAGACTGACAAAAAGCAGCCTAGAAGGGCTTAGCACTTACTGTAGGAAGTCTAAGAGGTGCCTGTTGTTACTCCTGATGTTTAACGTTTGTGACTGAGCTCTTCTGCTTGCTCTGAGAGTGGGGAAAAAAGAGAGAAGGAAACTTGACCTTGACCTCAAGAGTACAGCTTGACCCCATTGCTACTGGAGGAATCATGGAACTGCTTTTCTTGTTCCTGTAATACTTTCCTTATATTTAAAGAAAGTTTTAGCAGCCAAATCACATGACCCACAGCAGAAGGGGGCTTAGCCTAGTAAGTGTCACACATGATTTTTATACTTTTGGGAAAAAAATGGCACACAGGCTTCCTGGTAGGCAGCCAGTGAGTGAAGTCAGGTCGAATTTGCCTTCACTTGGTTATAATCAGCTTTGTCCCTTTGTTGATGCCACCTCAGCCATACGCTGTTGCCACCTTCTCATCCTGCCACTTACTGTCAAAGCTCAGCAGGGAAAATAAACTGAGGCCACAATAACATAGGGAAGTGTCTTGGCAAGATTTGGCTGGCCATTTGAAGTTTTTTTTCCTTTTTCTGTGGTTAGGAGATAAAGTCAGAAATATATATTGTTTCATATATAGGGATCGTTATTTTTAGACCAGCAGCAGATCTTAGCCTCTGCATGTAATCTGCTTAGACAGAGCCACGTGGGGCATCAAGGTTTGCACGAAGTGTCTGTGGAGCTCAGTCATTGATGTTGAGTGTAACTGGAGTTCTGGAAGTGTGGATGCTCAAAACACTGAATTGTGTGATAGTTTAAAGCTCAATGTCTCAAGTTTGTTTATGTCAACTTCTGTTTCAGGCATGGCAGATTGGTGAGAAAAGCTTTTTGTAAAACCAGATCCCAACTTATGTAATTCTTAGTACAGTGGTGTTCTCTGTGTTGAGTGAGGGAGAGATATGAGTCTGTCCTATTAACTGTGGCCAGAGTGCCACTGAGTTTGGAGTGAGCATGTATTGCAGACAGGAATCTGCATGTTCCCAGCAGTGAGGGACAGTGCATATAGAGGGAATCTTGGTACATTTAAGGATTGTCAGGGCCTGTTCTGAAAAACACTGGCTGAACTGCGTGCGCTTGGTGCTGCCAGTGAGAAGGTTTGCCTAGGATGTCATCCCTCAGCTATACATAGCAAACTCAAAGCTCCTTACAGAGAAACCTCTTACGAGTCACTTTCCACAAATGGTGCGTATACCTAAAGGTACTTAGTGAAAATCCTTGAGAGGTATTTAATGCAAAAGCAGTTAGTTTTTCTGGTGTTTTTCAGAAGCCCACACACACCACTAGCAGGGAGAAGTGCAGGGCAGCTACAGCCCAGCACTTGGGCCAGTTACTCATTTTGTCTCAACCAGGCTCTGCCAGCCCAAGAGCTTGCCAAGATGTGTGACATGGGGGGACTTGACAACCTGATTGCCAACACAGCCTATCTGCAGGCAAGGAAGAGTGGAGATGGAGACACCAAGGAGATGCAAAAGAGGCGTAAGAGTCTGTCACTGCCCAGGATTGAGCAATGTGGAGAGGTTAGAGCGTCCATTGTTGCCGATTTTGATAGCATCTGTGAGCAGCAGCCCATTGGCAAGAAATTCTTCAGAGACTTCTTGGAGACAGTGCCGGAATATTTGGTAGCTAGGGACTTCCTGGATGAGGTGTCAAACTGGGAGTTGGCAGAGGACAATGTCAAGAGCAGTACCATGGAGAATATGATCACCAGTTTTCTTAAGGCAGGCTCCAAAAATTACCTGGCTTTCA